GTGAGTTGAAATGGATTGGTATTGGCCATTTTGAATCTGACAACCACATGGTTAACTATGCTGGGAATGACAAATTGAAGAATGATGTTACCAATAACCAAAGTGCTGAAAAGGACTTTAGGAAAACAATACCATTTAGAATAGCCACCAAAAAGGATGAACTATCTAGGAATAAATGTAACCAGAGAAACAAAAGACCTATACAAAGAAAACTACAGAACAAGAAACCAAGAGAGACCTATAAAAATGGAAGAATATACCATGCTCCTGGATAGAAAGACTTATATAACATTGTGAAAATGTCAATACTGCCCAAAGCAATTTACACATATAATGCAATCCCAATCCAGAATTCAACAACTTTCTTCAAAGAGATGGTAAAAAACAACTACAAACTTTGTATGGAAAGGAAAGAGACCAAGGATAAGCAAAGCGCTGCTTAAGAAGAAGAACCGGGTGGGAAGCCTCTCACTCCCTGATTTCAAAATTTATTACATGGCTACAGTGGTCAAAACAGCCTGGTACTGGTATAATGAAAGATACAGTGATCAATGGAACAGAATGATGAATCCAGAAATTAACCCACCCGCATACAACCAACTGATTTTTGACAAAGTACCTAAGAAAGCAAAAAGTCATTAAGAAGACAAAAAAGAAGGAAAAGATCAAAATGGATGTCAGAAGAGACTAAAACTTGCTCTCCAGCATAGAGATGCTACATGGAAGAAATGAGGAGGTACAAGAATGGAACAGGAAATTTCAAAGGTCAGCTCGAGAAGATAAAGCCAAATTTTACAAGAAAATGTGCAAAGATCTGGAGTCAAAACCAAAAAGGAAGAACACGCTTAGCATTTCTCAAGCTGGAGGAACTGAAGAAAAAAATTCAAGCCTCGACTTTTGTTATTGAAGGATTCTCTGGGCAAATTATTGAATGATGCAGAAAGCATCAAGAGAAGATGGAAGGAATACACAGAGTAACTGTATCAAAAGGAAATGTTTAATGCTCAGCCATTTCAAGAGGTAGCATATGATCAAGAGCCAATGATACTGAAGGAGGAAGTCTAAAGGTCATTGAAGAAATTGGCAAAGAACAAGGCACCAGGAATTGATGGAATAAAAATTAAAATCTTTCAGGAAAGTGAGGCGGGACAGGAGGCACTCACTTATCTCTGCCAAGAAATTTGGAAGGCAACTGGATGACTGGAAGAGATCCGTATTTGTGCCCATTCCAAAGAGAGGTGACCCAACAAAATGCGGAAATCATCGGACAATATATTTGATATCCCATGTGAGTAAAGTTTTACTAAAGGTAATTCAGAAATGGCTGCAAGCATACATTGACAGAGAACTTCCAGAGGTTCAAGCCAGATTCAGAAGAGGCCACGGAACGAGGGATGTCATTGCTGATGTCCAATAGATGTTGGCTGAAAGCAGAGAATGTCAGAAAGATGTTTACCTGTGCTTTGTTGAATATGAAAAGGCTTTCGATTGTGTGGATCATGACAAGCTCTGGACAACATTGCAAAGTACGAGTATTCCGGAACACTTTATTGTGCTCGTGAGGAATCTACATGGACAAAGAGGCAGTTATTCGGACAGAACATAGGAACACTGAATGGTTTAAGAAAGGTGTGCAACAGGGTTGTATTCTTTCACCATACTTATTCAGCCTGTATGCTGAGCAGATAATCTGAGAAGCTGGGTTATATGAAGAAAAACATGGCATTGGGTTGGAGAAAGACTCATTAACAACCTGCAATATGCAGATGATAACAACCTTGCTTGCAGGAAGTGAAGAGGACTTAAAACATTTACTGATGAAGATCAAAGAACACAGCCTTCAGTATAGATTGCATCTCATTGTAAAGAAAACAAAAATTCTCACCACTGGACCAATAAACAACATTCTTATCAACAAAAAAAAAGACTGAAGTTGTCAAGGACTTCATTCTTCTTGGATCAACTATCAACATTCTTGGAAGCAGCAGTCAAGAAATCAAAGGACATATTGTATAAGGCAAATCTGCAGCACAAGACCTTTTTAAAGTGTTAAGTGAGGAGCAGAGATGTTAGTTTAAGGACTAAGGTGTGCCTGACCCAAGCCAAGGTATTTTCAGTAACCTCAATTGCATGCAAAAGCTGGACAGTGAATAAGGAAGACCATAGAAGAATTGATGCTTTTGAGTTATGGTGTTGGAGGACAATATTGAAAGTGCCATGGGCTGCCAAAACTAACAAATCTGTGTTGGAAGAAGTGCAACCAGAGTGCTCCTTGGAGGCCAGGATGGCCAAACTTCGTCTTATACTTTGGGCATATTGTCAGGAAGAACCAGTCGCTTGAGAAGGGTACCATGTTTGGTAAGGTGGAGGGTCAGAGAAAAAGAGGTAGACCCTTAGCAAGATGGATTGGCAAAGTGGCAGCATCAATGGGCTCAAATGTGGCAACAATTATGAGGTTACCCAGGACCAGGCAGTGTTACATTCTATTGTGTGTAGGGTCCCGATGAGTCCGTACCTACTCAATGGCACCTAGCGGCAACAACAACATACACTTCTGAATGCAGTGTTTCTGTCTCTCTTATTCTTCCTCTAAAGGAATGCTGCTAGCTCCTTTAGAGGAAGGATAAGCACTGAAAACTACCAGCCTTTCCGTGGGAAAAGGATAAGACTCACAGCCTCAGAAACTCTGTATAGGCTCTCTATGAATCCGAAGCATCTGGACGGCACTTAACAACAACCTTCTCTGAAGAATTCTGCACTCTTCCATTCATGTTATGTCTAAATGGCAATTTAGGTATCGTCAGGGGACTCAAGTCATGTTCCTTTAAATGTACTTTGAGATCAGGGTTAGAGGGTGAATGTGGGGATAAGTTTTCAAAATTTTCATAGGATAGCCCTTCCTACTTACTCTCAAATAATGAGCAGGTACTTTGTCATGATAGAAAAAAAAAACATTCCTTGGTGCAACTTTCCTGGCCTTTTTCTCACCATTGCAATGTTTACTTTTCTTAAAATCCTTCTTAATAAGCCCTCATGATCATCCTCTGTCTTTCAGGAAAATTTACCAAGATCACCCCTTTGGAATCACCCCAGTAGTCACCATTACATTTTGCCTTGAATTTCACCACCTCAGCACATCCTCTCAGAAGCCAGTGCTTTGATTGCACCTTGCTTTTTGGGTGATATTGTTATATCCAAAACTCATCTCTGGTTACGAATTCATTTAATAAAAGCTTCAGTCTTGCTTAAGAGACATGGAAAGATCAGCTCTTTGAGCTAGCTGATCTTTGTGCAGCCTTTTTGGTACCCATTAAGCCAAAAGCTTGTTACCAAGATGTTTGCTTTAAATTGAAAATGTTGAACCATGTTAGAGCCTGTCTTTAGTACTTTTGCATCCATGGTAATTCTACAATCTTCCACCAGTTTCTGAAATTCAGTATCCTCATTCGTCCAGGTTGACAGTCTTTCTTCCCTCTTTTAACTCATCTTTGAGGTCTTTCCAACCTTTCCTTAAAATGCTTGATCTATCTAAGAATTTGTTTTGTGTGAAGCAACATTCCCATAAGATTGTTGCAAAGCTGCAATGATTTGGGAAGCTGCCCACTTGAGGTTTGTTAAAAATTTGGTATTATCCCTACCTCAAAATAGTTTTTACAACAAAAACGAAAAATACTTTTTTTTTAAGGCATCCTAATAAGACTTCACAGCACATAACCACCACCACCAGTGAGAGTAAGAGTCCTAGTGTGGTGCTGTGGGTTAATGCACTGGACTACAAGGTCGATTTGAACCTCAAGGTGGGTGCTTCAAACTCACCAGCTGCTCCTCAGCAACCCTATAAGGGTCGCAACTGACTCTGACTCGATGGCACTTAACAATAACCATGAGATTAGGAGTCTTGTTACTGTGGGAGAAAGCACTGGACTGCAAGGTTGCTTTGAATTACAAGATCAGTGGTTCACACTCAACAGCTACTCCTTGGAAATCCTATGCAGGGAGTCGGAACCGACTCAATGACACTTAACAACAATAGCAAAGAGATTAGGAAGCGCAGTGACTCTGTAAAATTAGCACTAGACTACAGACTACAAGGTCAGCGAGTTTTGCCCAAAACATGCTCTGCAAGAGAAAGATCAGGCTTTCTGTTCCTGCAAAGAGTTACTGCCTCGGAAACACTATATTGTTGTTAAGTGATGTTAAGTCGGTTCTGACTCATAGTGATTCTGTATAGGGTTTCTGAGGAGTGGCTGGTGAATTTGAACTGCTGACCTTGCAATTCAAACGAACCTGGTGATCTAGGGTTTATCCTACAGCACCACACCAGGACTCCAGGAAATGAGGGTTCTTATAAATTGGACCTGACTGGATAGCATGCAGCAGTAGCAGCAGTAAGCTAAGACAGGTGTATTACTGACAGAACTTGTCTGCAGTTATCCACTGATCACAGAGACAAATATTTAAACATGTTTTATTTGCAATTAACCTGTACATGTGTGAACTGAAATCCTAGTAGCAATACTTTTTGACATATATGCGCTTCAGTTCATTACAAGATGGTCACAGGACAATGGCAGAACAAGTTTGTATGGTAACCTGCTATGAAAATTGCCTTCTCACTCATTCCTGTTTCTATGAGTCGTTTGTAAAGATTTGTTGATAATGCTGCTCATTAAGACCTTGAATGTATAAACTATCATATCATGCATTTCTTAGGCAGGAAGATCCTCTGGGAACAGGTACCTGCCAGACCTCAGATATCCTGCACCTGCCAGACATCAGAGAGAAAAAAAAGTATCTCCAAGTTATAGAGGGACTACTGTTAAAGAAGGCAGTTTTAAAATTCAACATGGATTCTAGATGTATGCAGACTTTAAAATGGAGTTAACTTTCTTCTTTCTGACTGCTCTATTTACACATGCCAAGTGCCCTTGATTTTAGACTTTGATACACATTTTAGGGAAATGCCTGATATTGCATTGACCCCTGGTATTTGCTTGCAGGAATTTATGTTGACGCAGTTAACTCCCTGGGCCAGACAGCGCTTTTCATTGCTTCCTTACTGGGTCTGACGAAATTAGTTGATGTTCTAGTGGATTATGGATCAGACCCAAATCAGTAAGTATAATAACACCAGTATCTATATGAGTGTTCCCTTAAGATGAATTGGCATATTAGGCAACAAATTTTGATAAAACATTTAAAGCAAAAAATCTTTGCTAATTGACATCAGTGAAATAGTCTGAATTTTGAAATATTTGTATGAAATGTTTGTCTTTACTTAGAAACATAGCTCTAACTGCTAATAGAAGTTTTCTAAGCAGTTTTGTTGGTGCTATGATATTAGTGTAATTCGTTAGTCCTTGGCAGCATTGTTTGCATATTTCTATCCCTGCATTATAACTTCTAATCTGTATTCTATTTGCTTAAGCAGTTTAATCTGCCCCACAGTGAAGTTCTTCATCAAGTGGTATATTTGTCATCACTTCATCTAAAGGATGACTTTTTTTTTGAATTGTGAATTATGTGTTAGTTTACATGGGTGAACATTATCTTTACATTCATCTTATCATACTTTATTTCATTGCAATGATCACAATCCCCTGCATGCATCATCAAACACCCAAAGGGTACACCCCACACTCCTGCTTCCCCGCCCCCACTCGAGTCCAGAGTCCCCAGCCGCTCCTTCTGTCCACATCATTGCCTCTGCCTCCATCCCTAGGGTCACCACCTCTCTGAACAGGGTCGCACTTCACTTTTCTCCCTTGATGGTTCCAGGGATCTCCACTCCTGGACTGCAGAATTGGCCACTCCCCTCCTTTTGTTACCAAACATTTTACATTTACATTCCAACACTCACTGTCAAACCTGATAGCAATCATTCCCTATTGAACCACGGGAGTATAAAGGAGGACTTTTGATTAGGTCTTGTTTGTTGTTAAGTGCCATTGAGTTTGTCCCCACCCATAGTGACCCTATATAGGGTTTCTGAGATGCTGCTGGTGAGTTTGAACCACCAACCTTGTGGTCTAGGCCTTATCCCACAGCACCACACCAGGAGGACTCTTGTGGTTTTAAAGAATGAGTTTAGTAGTTGGCCCAGATTTGAATATGGAACACAAAGTAATGAATCAGCTACCTGGGAGTATCCTTCTCTTTGTGTACCACTTCTACTTTTCACGGGGGTCTTTCCAGGAACAAAAGGAGCACTAGTGGTACTATAAATAAGTAGTTCAACCCCACTAGTCACTCCACGGGAGAAGGATGAGGTTTTCTGCTCCCATAAAGAATGACAGCCTTGGAAACCCTATACAGGGTTGGTTGGCAGTGGGTGGGTGGTGGGATCCAGGTAGGTACAGACTTAAATACTTCCTTGACAAGTAGGGGAAGACAGGTATTTTCACAGTTCCAACTTAACAGACCCAAAACTGAGGTTTTGACAGCCTGTGTGATCCCAGCTGATTTTCACAGGAATAAGAATATCATAAAAGTCATAATATAACTTCCCATCTTAATGTGTTTACTTAAAACAAACAAAAAGAAAAAACAGCGTCTTATCAATGTTGGAAGAAAACTTTTTTATTATTAAATTTTAAAAATTGATACGGAACAGCCTATATAGGATATTTTATTCATGCTATTAAAAATAAAAGATTTACATACATGAGGGGGCTTCAATAACTTTGTGGAAGATGATGGAATCTCCCATGTATGTTTTGAAGTTCCCTTGTCTGTTGTTGTTGTTATGTGCCGTGGAGTTGGTTCCAACTCATGGCGACCCTGTACAGGGTTTCTGAGGCTGTAAATCTTTACGGGAGCAGAAAGCCTCATCTTTCTCCCTTCCACGGAACAGCTGGTAGTTTTAAACTGCTGACCTTGTGGTTTGCAGCCCGATTCGTAACCACTACGCTACCAGAGCCCTTGTCTACACAGACATAAATGTCTTTCTTTCCTCTATTTGTATTTCTCTTTCAATTAAAGAGAGAGAAAACTTCCCAGGTGAATCCAGTGTGCAATCAGATTTGGAAGCTGCAGGTCCCTATCACAGCTGCACTGTTTCTGGACGTGATACAGGTTATTCCTTCATGCTGCTGAGAACCTTCAGTAGTTTTGGTGATGAGTTTTAGATCCTTAATGAGAGCAGAGTTTTGTGGGTCTCTGGTGTGGTTCTGTGGGTTAAAGTGCTAGACTGCGATGTTATTTTGACCCTTAAGGTCAGCAGTTCAAGCTCACCAGTTGCTCCTGTGAAACCCTACACAGGGTCATTATGAGTCAGAACAGAGTCAAAGGCTCTAAGGACTCCTGGTGTGGCCCTATAGGATCAGCACTGGACTGTGAAGCATAATGTTGGCAGTTTGCTCCTTGGAAGCGCTGTACAGGGTCACTGTAAGTCGGAAACGACTCGATGGCACTTAAGAATAACAACCATAGGATTTGGTGGCGCTATAGGATAAGCACTGCAAGGTCAGCAGTTCAAACCCACCAGCCACGAAGTCATTAAGTGGAGAAAGACGAAGCTTTCTGCTCCTGTAAAGATTTACAGCCTTTGAAACCCAGTACAAGGTTGCTATGAGTCGGAATTCACTCACTGATGGTGGGTTTGGGCTTTCCCATAGGATTTGGGATACAGACACATTCTTACAGTAGAGAGAGGTCCCTGGTTAGGCTGTGCTGGACAAGCTGACTCAGGACATTGCAGACATGAGCAGACCAGTTCAGTGCATCCAGTGTCAGGTCAGGGAAAGAACCTAGACATGAAGCCAGACTTGGCCCTGGGTATAGAGCTGTTTGGCGCTTATATTCCCTTATCCTTAAACTGGGAAATGATCCTTCCTTGAAGGACTGAGGGAAGAATGGAAAGGGGCAGAGATTGGAGCCTGACAAATGGTATTATAATAATCTTCATCACAGAAGGGTGCCTTCTGAGGACAGGGAACCCTGTGTTGTCCTTGAGTCCCCCATTAGTGGAAGAGGGGAACATTGCCCAGTGACACTCCTTGTTTCCCCACAGCCGCTGCTTTGATGGAAGCACCCCGGTCCATGCAGCAGCATTTTCAGGCAACCAGTGGATCCTCAGCAAACTCCTGGATGCGGGAGGTGACTTGAGACTGCACGATGAGAAGGGCCGAAGCCCTCAGACCTGGGCCCTGACGGCGGGGAAGGAGCGCAGCTCCCCGGTAAGGGCGCCAACCTGCAGCCACAACCTGGGGAGACTGGGTTGGGACACAGCACATGGCTCCTGGTGGTCTTAGTATTGGACACACAGTTCTGGAATGGAAGCAGGTTAATCAGCTGTAAAGTGTCAGGCACGTCTAGTGAGCAGCATGGAGAAAGAACAATTACAATTTGATCCCTAACTAGCATTTACCATTCATCATCAATGCTTTTTATGCATTAACTCTCACAGCACCCTTCCTCTGGTAGGTTTCACAGATGAAAGCCAGAGGCAATAAATAACTGGCTTGAAGCTGCTTAGCAGCCCTGGTGAGGTGGTGTCGTGTAAATCACCTAGGGCGGTACAGTTGGTGGAGGAGGGCGGTCTCCTTTCCTTTCCTCCCTCAGACCCTCCTGCTCATTAAAGTCACTCCACCTTTCTCATCTACTAAGGGATGGACTTAGAGGAAATCCTCTTCCCCGCAATCATTCCAGACCTTAGAAAATCACTTGGATCCTCCGCTTACCAGCGATTTCCCTGTCTAGGTTCTCAGATCATTCACCTTCACACCCAAGCCTCCTTCACTGCCACTGAAGACGGCGAGGGTGCCATTGAAGGCTGGGGTGTGAAGTGCCTGCCATGGCCGGCACAGAGCTCCCTGTGGTGTGTTGCAGATGGTGGAGTTCATGCAGCGCTGCGCCGCTCACATGCAGGCCGTGCTCCAGGGCTTCTCCTGTGAGCTTCTGAGAAAGATCGACTCCCCACAGCGGCTTGTCAGCAGTTTACCCCGGTTTGGGGGCCTCATGCCGGGGTGAGTGCTGCCTTGAATGGAGTGGTTTCTGTATCACCTACCCACCCTTGCTTGTGGGCTCCCTCTAGCACCTGGCCCTAGGAGAAGGTGGCTGCAGAGCACTTAAGCCATCTCTCCAGCATCCTCCAGGGTCTGGGTGGAGCCTGGTAGCTGGCTGACTTTTTGTGTGTGTGTGTGTGTGTGTGTGTGTGTGTGTGATTTCCCCCAAACCTCTAAACAAAAGGCAAAGAGCCATAGACTGAGGGCCAGCTCTGTATTCGAAACGAACCATGAACCTTGGGAAGAATGTGCCTTTCTTACTGTGGTTGTAAAGGACACAAATGTTCAATTGACTGTTTCCTGGGCTATTTTAAGCTGGCGTAAGAGAGTCCCTTCTAGCGCCCCCTCCCCCACCCACATCACAGCTGTAGGCTGGGCCTACTGACCCGGTGGTGGGTGGGTCCACTTATTTTAAACTCCTGGGAGGGTTGGGGAGACAGGCTTTATGGACGTGGGATCGGTAGGTGGGGAATTGTTTACACTTTTGTTTTCTCTATTTGATCTCTTTCTGTAATCCCCTTTTGGGCTGCCAGCCTTGTCCTTCCTTGCAGACTGAGTCCTGCTTTATCTCAGGTGACTGAGATGCTGCTGGCTGCTGGGGGAGAGGAGTTAATGATTGATTCCCTGTGGACCAGTTACTCCTAACTGCTGGCCTGGGGGTTGCTCCTGTTGTTCTGAGTTCTCCATGCAGCCCACAGAGCAACCTTTTAAAAATAGAAATCAGGTTGGGCAGCTCTCAGCCAAAATCTGGGAAGGGCTTTCCCCTCAACCATCAGGATGACTCCTGGAATCCTGCATCTGGTCTTGGAAGCCCACATGTGCCAATCCTGGCCACCTTTCCCACCTGGCCTCCTGCCCCTGGGTCCTGCTCACCCCATTCAGAGTTTATAATTATTTTTCACTTGTATGTGTTCTTGTAGGAACTCTGGTGGCGTAGTGTTGGGCTGCTAACTGTAGGCCAGCAATTCGAATCCACCAGCTGCTCTGTGGGAGAAGGATGAGCTTTTCTGCTCTACTAAAGACTTCCAGTCTTTACTATGAGCTATGAGTTGGAATCAGCTCAGTAGCACACAACTACCACCACCACCATACATTCTTGTTGTCTGTTTCCCAGTTAGAACTCCAAGAGGGCAGGGACTGTGTCTCAGTTCTTTACCACCAGCCCTCAGCTGCCTGGTGGCTGGTAGGATGGGACAGCCAGGAAGGAAAGCCCAAATCTAACTGCTGAGAAACTTCTAAATTAGATGTCATGTCTATTTTACAGCTAGACGAAGCAGGCAGAAATAGCCCTTGAAATAAGGATTAGCCTCTGAGACCCGTGAGTGGCGCTGTCAGATAGGATTCTTTACAGGATGTGTTACACAAGACCTGGCTGGGGAACAGAAACCAAAAGCATTGAATTCAGAGTGTACATGATCAAAAGGGTGTAGATAATTAGAGTCCTTTTTTCTTAAGGTTAGTTATGTATATTTTTACACAAAACAATGTGCATCATATAATTTTTGCAAACCACACAAACCCCTCATGAGTTACCTGTGCAAGCTGTGCGCATCATATGCGTGAGCGAGGTAAACACAGACTGAGGCATTAAGGTAAGAGAGCAAGAGATGTTGGTCTGAGCTGCAATTGCTGTCCAGGTCACAGCTAGCTCCTTAGCTCCACCCCATCGGCCACCCCACCACACACAGCAGCTAAGGAGCCCCAACCAGATAGGCTCCTCCTGTTCTGCTGCTTCTGCTGAGGGACCATCACCATCCCCAGCTTCGAGTCTGCTACCCTGGTCAGGAAACAGCCATTGTCTTCTGTCTGTATGAGATCTGAGCATGTAGGCATCATTTCTAGAGGATATGGAGGGTTTGGTGCAAGAAAGGTGCCTTTCTCTTAGGTTAGAGCCTGTCCATTCGGGGTGAACACAGAACCTAACCTCCACAGTAGGCAGTTTTGAGAGTGACAGGGACTCTTGTCAATGATAATGTTGGACACCAGTTATAAACTAGGACATGTGGTCCCCTTCAGTCCAAACTGTGAAGCCTTCACTTTAACAGTGTGGCGCTGACAGCCAGCCACCAGGAGACAGACCTTCAGTCTCAAGGAGACAAAATGTCCCAAAGCAGCAGCGAAGCATTCACATCTGGTTATGAACACAGGGAGCCTGGGCCTCGCAGGCCTGGACTAGGGTTCGCTGGCACATACTACCATTGGGGTTCTTCTGTTTGCCAAGGAAGGAACCGTGCTCTGGTAGCAGCAGACCGGTTGTTTTGTTTTTTTCCCTTCAGTCTCGACTGAAAGTCCTCACTCGTCAAGCACCAGCTGAGGGCTTCCTACATGCATGACACACTGTGTGAGGTGCAGGAGCCAAAGAAATACAAGGCATAGCACTTACTTCAAGGTCTCTTTCAGTTAGTGGAGTCCCAGAGTACAGGGGGCAGCTTGGGTGTGGTCTGTGGGCAGGACAGTGGCTGCTCTCTGTGACCCCAGGCCGCATTCTAAACATCTGTAAAATGAGAAAGTTGGATGAGATGAATGTTAATGATTATTTCCAACTCTGATTATTTGTACTGGTTATTTGTACTGTACTAGCTGCATTACAAATCCCTTCCAAGTCTAGCAGTTTCAGAGAACAGAAAACATTACATCTCACACACTTGTCTATAGGTCAGGGATCTGCGAGTGACTTGGCTGGATGGGTTAACTCAAGGTCTCTCAGGAGGTTGCAGTCACCTGAAGGCATGCCTGGGGTTGAAGGATCCAGTTCCCAGATGGCAGATTGGTGCTGGATGCTGGACCTCTCCACAGGGCTGCCTGAATGTCCTCATAACAAACATCCCATCCCGCAGCTGGCAGGAGATTGACTCATAGCGACCTTGTATAGAGTTTCCAAGGAGCAACTGGTGGGTTTGAACTGCTAACCTTGTGGTTCACAGTCCAGTGCTGATTCACAGCACCATACCAGAAGGAGAGATATTAGGGCAAAAAAATCCTCAAGGAGCCAGGCTAGAAGTCACACTGTCATGTTGGTAATAACTTACTGTGTTTATAGATCTCCCTTTTTCTATACAAGGACATGAATATGGAGAGTTGAGATTCACTGACTGTTACTCCATCTGTGTTGTTATTGCTATTACGTCACCTCCAACTCATGGCAACCCTGGGCAGTGGAACCAAATGTGGCCTGATTCTGCCCAGTCTCCACAATCAGTGTTGCAGCCACGGTGCCTTCCCATCTAGGGGACTCAGCTTCTAACAGTATATCCGACAGTGTTCTGTTATGATCCAGAAGATTTTCCATGGGCTCATTTTTCAGAAGTAGATTGCCAGACCATTCTTCCTAGTCTGGATGCTTTGCTGAAACCAGTCCCTCCATGAGTTACCTTGTTGGATTTGAAATACTGGTGCTTTAGCATCCAGCATCACAGCAACACAAAAGCTATCACAATATGACAAACTGACAGATGAGAGTGATGGATGCCATAGATATATGTTGTTAAGTGCTTTTGAGTTTGTTTCGACTCATAGCGACCCTGTATAGAGTTCCCAAGAAGTGGCTGATGAGTTTGAAAAGCTGACCTTTGCGGTCCAGTGCATATCCTACAAAGCCACACCAGGACGCTGTCATTTATATACAGTTCCGTGATAAAAAGCCAAGTAATGAAAACTAAACTAATTGTACATTCTGAAGCCTTGGTTCAGTATTGTTCCTTTGGATAGTGGTGGTGGTGTGTGTGCCTTCAAGTTAGTCCTAATGCACAGCAACCCTGGATAGAATTTCCGAGGCTGTCAATCTTTACAGGAGCAGAAAGCCTCATCTTTCTCCTGTGGAGCAGCTCGTGGATTCGAACTGCTGACCTTGTGGTTAGCAGCCCAACTACACTATACTCACTAGACTACCAGGGATCCTTTGGGTAGAAATGTTAAATTAATTCTTCCTTCCTTCCCTCCTTCTCCCCTCTAACCCCTAAAATATTTCTAGAAACCCTACTGGCTCTCCTAACAGACTGCTTAAAGCTGGAGTCATTGCTGCCCAAAATATCTACAGCTTTGGTTTTGGGAAGGTAAGAAGTTGTCTCTGAAGGCCAGTGTTGCAGGACCCAGTTGGATAATCAACCTGGCTCAGGCCCCACCCTCATCTTTGTCCAGCTCTTGCCTCCTTATTCTCTCCCAAGTGGAGTGTTTTTGTGTTTTTTTCCTTTTGCCTTTTTGGGGAAAAGTATCCCTAGTGTTTCTTTGTCCATACTGAAGAAAAAAAAAAAAAAAAAAAGTGAAAATTTAGGTGAAATCCCTTAAATAAGCTGGGCTCAATTTGGGGAGTTTAGAAAATGCTCTTTTCCAAGAGAGGCCAGAAGGCTTCACTCACCTCACCTCACCCCACCTCAGGTTTGTGAGTATTGTTGAAATACCTTTATGGAATCGAGTTTTAAAGCTGAAAATTATTTTGAGGACAAATGGTGACTTGTGGACCCTTGTTCATCCTGCTGCTGGCAGTGGGTGACATTCACTGACAATGTCAGCCCCCGCTCCTGAGTTGGTGGAGTAGAGGCAGCCGGGCACCAGGAAGGGGGCGTGTTGAGGGAATGCAGGCTTTGGTTGTAAACAGCCCCCTCAGTTCCAGCCCTGGCACCTCAGGCAGGCATCCATCCTCTTCTGTGAGCCTTAGTTTCCTCTTTAGTACAAGGGAAAAACTATTACAACCTTTACTTTATATTCTCTTTAAACTTGCAGGGCTTCTCAGAAGTTTAAAGAGAATTCAAACTAAAAGGTAATATCTAGTGCATAGGGGCATTCAGTAAGTTGGTAGATAGCAGCTCACATTATTTTTCAGTGGGCTGATAGAATTCTGGAGTTAGTTTGCTCTGCCTTTTCTCCCCATAATGTGAGGCTCTGTTTGGGTTTCAGTTTTACCTCACAGGTGGGAAGCACCTGGCCTATCTAGGATCTCTTCCTGTAATTGGAGAAAAGGAAGTGATCCAGGCTGATGACGAACCCACCTTCTCGTTCTTCAGTGGCCCCTACATGGTTATGACCAAGTAAGTGGAGCTGGCCAGATGAGGCCTCATTTGGTCACACACTCCCAGGGGCTGTTGTGATTTCCTTTCATGTGGAGGGTTTCTTCCCAAACACAAGGAAACAGTTACAAACATATTTAGATTGGGGTTTCTCAGACTTGGCACTACTGGCACATTCAGCTGGATAATTCTTTGGGGTGGGGACTGCCCTGTGCATTGTAGGATTTCCCCACTAGCACTCCCACAACCCCCAAAATGTCTGCCCACATTGCCAGGGGTTTTCTGGCCTCAGAATCCGTTCTGTCTGAGAACTACTTCTCTGAAAAATGACTCAGTAAAGTGTTTTAAACCTTCTGCTTTTTACAGAATGAGAGGCAGCTTAATGTCTAGACCAACGAAAGTATTGAGTCCCGGGTAGTACCCAAATAGACATCAGCTACCACCTCTCAGCTGCCAAACCCGGCAGAGGCAGCAGAAGCAACATCTGTCTGTGACAAAGCTCCTGAGGTGTTCTCATCCCTTGAGACCTGGTGCCCATGGGGCCATCCGAGAGGTCTTGGTCAAGTTCTCTCAGCTGCCAGGAACCTCGAGTCTTCTTTCCTACTTAGAGGAAACATCCTTCTAAAACTCTAAAACATTAGCCAAGAAAAGGCCTTTGCCAGACTCAGGCGGCCTTCTGTCCTCTGCATATACAGATCTGTCATTCTGGGCGGGCCCAGCCTAACCTGTCTTTCTAAAATTCAAACTCCATCAGGTCACTCCCTACTAAGTCCTGCAGCAGCTTCTTATCTCCTGCACCTAAGTTCCCCAGGAGTGCTTCAGTACCTGGGGGAGGGAGGGCTCAATGGTACAGAAACATCTGGATTCCATCTCTGGCCTCTTCTCCCCACCCTGTAGCCTGGTGTGGAATGGGAGCAGGGTCACAGTGAAGGAGCTGAATGTCCCAGCCCACCCGCACTGCAGCAGGCTGCGACTGGCTGACCTGCTGATTGCTGAGCAGGAGCACAGCAGGTGAGGAGGCCTGGGCCTGTGCCAGGGCTGCCTAGGTGTGGAGCACCCATCTGTCTCCATCAGCCTTCTGTTTCCTGACTGCTGGGAAATAAAGAGGAACTAAAGGATAGCCTGAGGAAAGGGGGTGGTGTTGGTGAGGGGCTCAATGCTGTCAGCTGATTGATTCCACTGGTCCAGGCACCAGACCTCTTCTGGCTCCTGTGTTACAGCCCCAGGGCTGCCCCGTGCTCTGCCCAGGGTCATGTAGGACAGTGTGTGCCTGCCCTGTTTGCTTAGAGCTAAGTTGTCCCTGATCTGGAGTCTCAGAGGTTAGGTCCTTTTGCTCTTGCTGTGTCAGCATCTCAATTCTTGGTTTTACACCAGTGCCACTAAAGCCTTCAAGTGGATATCAGCCTAAACAGGACCCAAGAAAGATGGCTGGAAGCATACAAACAGCGTGGGCTTTTATGTGAGACTGAATGGGGTGGGAGACATCTGGCAAGTTCCTGCTTCTTCCTGGACCTTGGCTTCCTTCTCTAAAATGAATACGATACATATCTTGCAGGTGGTTGTTAGGTTCTGAGATGATGTATGCAAAATACGTTGTTCTTGTTGTCTGATGACCCTCAGTCCTCAGGGTCTGATGAGGGAGAGGCCACAGATTCCATAACAGACAGCCCCTCACCCTCTCACTCATCCTCCCTCTGTTTTCTTTGAGAAACTGTGTGTGCAAGTGATACTTGTTTAGGATTTCTTCAAAGGGCCTAGAGAAGAAAGGACAGCATCCTTCTTCTCATCCTGTCCTGTGTCCCGTGCCCATCTGACGCTGCTTCTCTCTGCAGTAAGCTGCGGCACCCCCACCTACTGCAGCTGATGGCTGTGTGCCTGTCCCAGGACCTGGAGACCACCCGCCTTGTGTATGAGCGCATCACAGTAGGCACACTCTTCAGTGTCCTCCACGAACGGGTAAGTGGCTACTTTTAGGATTTTCCCCTAGTTGTGCTCTACTCCACCCCGGTCTCAACTCTAGGCTCTTGTTTATGTGTTCCTGGAAGATAAATCTCATCTTTAGTTGTATGGGGGCTCTATACCACACCATTTAAGGCTGATAGACACAGGATCAGATAGTGTGACTTTATTATGGCCAGTCCTATTTCTTTAACAGGTATCTAAGAATGCAACAAGACGCAGACAACACACACCTGTTTTCTAGCTAACAGTAATGGAACAGCCACTGGCTGTGCAGGTGTGTTGGTGGGTGGAGAGGCTTAGATCGACTTTCCCCACCAGTTTGAAGAAGGCTGACTGAAGCTCAGTTTTGGAACCTGGGATTTTGGGATCAGTGGCCCTTCAGCCCATCACTTAACCCCCTGAGCTGTAGCTTCGCCATTTAAAGTGGGGTTACAGATAACTGAGGATTGAATGGAATGACTGAAATGACAGCATCATCTATAGTGTCAGGGCCCCTGGCTGTCTCCTCTCAGCGCTCCCAGTTCCCGGTGCTGCACATGGAAGTGATTGTCCACCTGCTGCTGCAGATCTCCGATGCCCTGAGATACCTGCATACCCGAAGCTGTGTCCACCGTTCCCTCAGCTCCTACGCTGTTCACATCGTCTCCACTGGGGAAGCGCGGCTGACCAACCTGGAGTATATGGTGGAAAGGTGGGCAGAGCCTTTACTGACTGACTTGTAGGGGCTCCCCCGTCTTTCCTCAGGGTCTTGCAGAGTGGATTCCTGAGGTGTTTCCTGGCCGTTGGGAGTGGGAAACTGATGGGTTTGAACATTTTTGCTGTTTGTGACAAAACACCAAAGGCATTTCTGCAAGACTAGGGCGGAAACCAAGTTGTCTGTCAGTGACAGAGCACCATCTGTTGTTCAAATGGAGATACAGCAATTTCTTCTGCTTTTGTTCATCATTAGAAATGGGAATCCTGACTGTGAAGTGGAGCTTTGAAGATGGTCTAACCCAACCCTGTTGTTTTATAGATGAGGAAACTGTGGCCCAAAGAGGTGAAGAGAGTTGTGAAGTCAGCCAGCTGGTTGGTAGAGGCAGAGCTGGGGCTAGGACTAGGGCCAGGCAGTAGATGCTACTTGTTTGCTACAGGAACAGAATGGAGGTTGAAGGCACGTGGACCATCTAGGAGGGCTCAGAGGTGGGGTGGAGGGGCGTTAGTGGTGACCAGGGAACTGGAATGGAAGGGGAAGGTATAAGATGCACTAAGCATTTGGGATCAACAGACTGGTCAAGGAGGGGGCCCAAGAGTGCCAACGGAGGCCCATAGGGTGGTGAGAAGGTGATGTGAGTTCTCATTTGGGCCTGTTGACCTCAGAATAGAATGTTAGTCAGGAAGCAGTGGTAACCATAGCACTGTTGCCCTTTGAGAGTTGATTACAGGAGCAGGTTATCCAAGCATCCAAAATGGCTTTCAGTTCCACATCCCTAAAAAACAAGACGTCAGTGTGTTTAGGTGATATTTAACAGAGCAAATTAGGTTCACTTTGAACAGTTTTTATGCATATTGTCCTGTGCCATTGGTTGCAGTTTTAATAATGTGTCAGCTTTTTAATTACTTCCATTCTGTTTGTTTTGTTTCTGTTGATCTCACTTCCCTGCCTCTCCTTGTCTCCTTATCTTTGCTTTTGGTAATGGTGGACCTTTTGTCTCAGTTAATTGTTTAAGGGAGTACATTACTCATGGTCATAGTGCATATTTTATAAGCCACTCTACTACTTTGCTTAAAGATAACCTGCAGAAGTAGCTTCAATTCCAAGTTCATGGTGCCTCAGGTTTAGTTTTATTTCAAGGTTTGAAGAGTACCTCAAGGTAATAGTTTTGGTAAGTCCTCCAGTCTCAACAGTCTTACATCTCTGTGTGTATGTTTTTTTAATAGAATTTGAGGTTCTGTTTCACATTTTTCTCCTGTTCTATCAAAGGTCAATCCGTTGTGGCCCTGATTAGAGTGGTTAGTATGATAGCCAGGCATTATGTATTTCTTCTCATTGCAGAGTAGATGAGCCCATGGTTCTTATGGATGATTTTTTCTTTGAGCCTTTGATTTTCTTCTTTCTCTTTTGCTATAAATGAGTAGAGATCAATATTTGTATCTTAGATGTCTTGGAAGAGTCTTAAACTCATTTACTTCACAGTAAGTATTAATGCCCTGTTGTAAGCTTAGTGATACAGTGTTATGAAAGATAGTTGTTGTTGTTGTTAAGTGCTGTTGAGTCAGTTCTGACCCATAGTGACTCTGTAGAGGGTTTCTGAGGAGCTGCTGGTGAGCTTGAACCACCAACCTTGTGGTTCAAGCCAACTTTGCAGTCCAGCACATTAACCCACAGCTCCACACCAGGACTCCATAAAAGATAGGGAAGGTACCTATTCTCATGGGGCTGACTCTGTAGTGGGATGGGGAGGGAAGATGGATAATAATAAATTAAATGAACAACAACCTAGATAACATGTGTTCTGAAACCAATAAAACAGATGAGGTACTCAAGAAAAGGGTGTCTTTTGAGTGGATAACTTCAGTGACAAGTGGATAACTTCACTTGACCCAAGATCTGTGGTCAGAACATACTGGACAGAGGATGTCACCAGCACAAAAGCTGGAGGTGGTGATGTGCTCGGCATGTTGGGAAAACGGGAAGAAGACTCTTGGGACATGAGTTGAGTGGGTGAGCAGGGAAAATAACTAGATATGAGATGGGAGGGTAGACAGCGCCTGGTCAGGTAGGAAAGATAAAGAATTGCAGGTGTTAGAACATCCTAGAGGCAGTGTGATTTAGCTCGGGGTCTAGCATGGTTTCCAAAAACTCAAGGAGACTGCCAGGTATTCTTCAGAGGCCAATATTCCACAGAATGTGCCATGTGATTGATGGTTATGGTGGTTAGGACATGAGTCCTACCTGTGTATTTTCTTCTGCAGCCAGGATGGCAGTGTGCACAAGGACCTGACTCGAGTGCCCCTTCCCGCCCAGCTGTATAACTGGGCCGCCCCAGAGGTAATCTTACAGAAGCCTGCCACAGTGAAGTCGGACATCTACAGCTTTTCAATGATCATACAGGAGATTTTAACAGGTAGATCAAGGAGGGCATTAGTGGGTGATTGAAGTCCCGATTCTTACGGTGGATGTCTTTCCCCAGGAGTTACTTAGTTTTATGAAAATGTAGGACTTAGGGAGAAAAAAAGAGATTTCTTCAGGACAACTTTCTTGTGCTTATCTGGAAGACATGAAAGGTTTTTGCAGACAGTTTTTTCTTGTAACCTGGTCTTTAAGATCGAGCAAAACTACCTGTCAGCTTGTCAGTAATGATGCAATTTATCCAGAGCACAAAAACTTGAAACAGAGGTGCCCCCTGAGAACGTATAAATGAGGGGAAAGGCTGGTCTCTGAGTAGTCAACTGTGAAATTGATTGAACACACCTACGGTCTAGTGCGTACGTAAGCAGAAGAAATGAAGCTCCCTCACCCCAAACATAAGGACTCACATGTAAAGAATGCAGTCATATATCTGAAGACAGGGGCATCGCCATTGGAAGCATGTAGGTGCACACATACATATACACACACAAACAGACACATGGAACAGTAAGAGGACATTCACCAAGGGGGTGAGGGAGAGTTAGCTTCCCTTAGCAGTCTTTACAATCCCAGAGGCAAAACCACACCTATCATTGGATGAATTCATCGGGCTCTGCAGCCTAATTTACATTACCAGCTGTACTTTGGTCCCCAGGTCAGCCAGTGGGAATCCCATGTTCATGATGCTGTCATTTACTGTTTCTGGCCCAGGAATCTCTCTGGTAATTGAGTAAAGTGGTTTTTCAGATGTACTTGAGCTCCTCAGGTAGTTTCTCAACTGGGAGAAGCTAATGTTGAAAGGGGTGAGGTGACTTGACTAAGATTACACAGCTTCATTTGATTTCTTAATGTCACTCCTGCTATGGTGTTTTCCTTACAGATGACATACCCTGGAATGGCTTAGATGGCTCCGTTATTAAAGAAGCCATAGTCTTAGGAAATTGTTTAGAAGCTGATGTTAGGCTTCCGAAACCTTACTATGATATTGTTAAGTCAGGCATCCAGGTCAAGCAGAAAGACCGAACTATGAACCTTCAAGATATCCGGTATATTCTGAAGAATGACTTAAAGGTGAGCCCTGAAGAGGTTTCTGTGTTTATTTCTGCTTATCTGTCTTAGAAATCAGAAGCTAGAGACCAAGGACCACAGCTGCAAGCAGTTTGGGAACATCCCCTTTTGTTCATCCTTTCTCTGTTCCTGAGAAAAACATACTGAAGTTGGTGAGGGCAGCAGGGAAGGTGGGGAGCTGGGAAGCTTGACACATCGTAGGGGCAGTTGGTCGGTACATGTGAAGGGTCAGTGAATGGCGCCTATCATCAGTATTTGAAAAATATTTGTACTAACAATGAATTACATAATTAAGACTCAACCAATCTACCATTTCTACATTACAGCAGCAAGAGGGAGTTGATCTGGTACCTGGATCCATTTCTGAAAACATCAGTGACATTCACGTGACTGGAAATTAATCCTTGACAAAGTTTTTGTTTTACAGGAGTTTATTGGAGTCCAGAGAACTCAGCCATCTGAGAGCCCCAGAGTTCAGAGATACGAACCGCATCCTGATATTGGTGTCTACCTAGGATTGACTTCAGAGCACCCTAAAGAGCCCCCTGACTTGGAAATCAAAGAGCTGAAGGAAAGCGGTAGGGTCTTAAGGCACAAGTTAAGCACCACTTTGACATGAATGTGTTCTGAGAGTCACATGAGCTGCAACTAATGAGACTTTCCAAACCGTGAATGTAACTAATGCCAGGAAAGGATGGATGCCAGAGAGAAAAGTCACTGTCCTTAAAATCGTTCAGTTAAACGTTTCAGATTCATATATACCCTGCTGGGGTCCAGAGCTAAGCAATGGCCACTAGTTTATTCCTATTATCATCACTTTAGAAATTTATCTTTAAAATGATTCTTGTGAAACTTTAAAATGATTTGAGCTCATAGTAGAAAATTTGGGCAAGTACACTGAAGAAAATTACTTAACACTTTAATTCTGTCACTTAGAGGTATTGTACTAACATTTTGGTATTCTCTTCCAATTTTTTTTCTTACTACTTAAAAAAAACTAGTAAGACATTACTACTTTTGGGTGTTTTTGGAAACCTTAGAATTTAGAGCTTGCTACCCTCATACCACAGACATGAAAGCTAAGTTCATTTCAGAGCAGTAGGAGAGCTGGAACCTCAATCTTGTGACCATCACTTCTGACTCTCCTGACAGGACTGCAGGCTGATAGAGCCCTACCCCCACCCTAAAGCACTGATTACTTTGACTCCTCCATCCCATTCTGTGCAAGTCAGACACTCCTTAATGAGGGGTGGTGGATGGTCAGTCCTGGCTTTATTTTTTGAGATTATTATTCCTCCCATGATGCAGTGGCTTCCTGGGCAGTGTCTTGACCATTCTATCAGATGCTTACCAAGAGCATCACTTCTGGCATAGACAGTCAAACTATTTGTGTGTGTAAAGAAAGCTGTGGATGTAGTCATGAAGGTTGAGGGGCCTGTTTTGGGAAATTTCCTCCGAGATTTCACACATCCCAAATATTTTTTTTATGAAGGGAACTTTTGCTCTTTTAGTAAGAACTACGCTCTCACCTGTGGGAGTATCTCTGGCAGCAGTCTGTATCTGGGAAGGGAGTGGGAAATTCCGAGGTGCTTTCTGCATTCACATGCAGCTCAAGCAACAAGCTAAAGCTGCTTCATGCTGAGTGTGGCCACTCTAACCAGTTGCACATTGCTACTTTTCTAAACAACACCCCCTATTGATTATTTCAGCAGGGAGGCAACTTCATTCACCATGGGCTCACTCTTCTCCCACCGAGAAAGCAGTACTAACTGTTCAGGCCCCAGACCCAAATCTGCTGGCCAAGGACACCCAGAAGCGAGGTACTGCCTCTCCTGCATCATCTGGGGCAGAAGAGACCAGGAGCCCTAGTGCAGATCATGCAAGTCTTGACAGCTTCGAAATTAATGAAATCTACTCAGGCTGCTTGGATGTGGGAGGTGACAAAGAGGAGGAGCCCCCAGGATCTGTTTCATCTCTCGAGGTGGGTAGTTCAACCCAGGTAGAAGAACTGAAGTCCATGGAAGAGGAGTTGGACAGAATGGAGAGAGAGGCATGCTATCTTTGCAGTGAGGAAGATAGCTCTTTGGAAGCAGAGACAGAGCTCTCCTTCGAGGACTGGGACTGGGAGAATGGTTCGCTGAGTTCACCCAACGTACGTGTGCCTACCAGAGAAGCCAAGGGCAATGTGAGCAACAGGTCCATGACTGAGGAGTACATCAGCAAGTGTGTGCTGAACCTAAAGATTGCACAGACGTTAATGCACCAGAACGCCGATTTGTTGAGGAACACTCAGCAGAAAATCGAAAAGCTTGAGGTGATCCAGAGGGAGCAGGAGGAGCGCAGGTCTTTGTGGGCCACTTCACGAGGGTTTGCAAATGCCTATGATACACCATCAGCCCTGGGTCCCCCAGCTTCAGGCTACATCCCTCCTGCCATGCCACAGTCAGGGGACCAGCAGCTGGACACCAGTGGCAAATCCTGCACCCTAGCAAGGTCTTCAAGAGCAGTGTGGGACTTTCAGGGAGGACGTTTTGGCAAAAGATCCAGGAAAAGAAGTGACTATGACTGGAAGCCTTTCACCTCAATCACCCAGGTCTCTGAAGAAAGCCCCGGGAATCAGTCAGAGAAGAGCCACCAGGTAAGCCTAAGAAATGGGAGGCGGGGCAACCTAAGCAGGACCCTGAGGTGTCGGAAACATTGCCCCTAACCTGTGCTGGGACCCCATATAAATGCAGCCAACTCACAGCAGGATCTTCTTGGCTTTGGGAAATAAGGTAGATACTCTCTAGATCCCCTTCCAAACCCAACACACAGCTCAACTTCTCCTCTGTGAATAATGGATCAGGCTGAACCAGGTGAAATTACTGTTCTTATAGGTCATATGGTCAAGAATTTGGCAATTTCATATGGTGCTGCTTATTAGATAAATGTTCTTGGTGGTGTTGATGGTTACGTGCAAGGGAGTCAGTTCCAACTCAGTGACCCGGTTAGTTTCCGAGGCTATAAATCTTTATAGGAGCAGAAAGCCTCATCTTTTTCCCTAGGAGATGGATTTGAACTGCTGACCTTGTGGCTAGTTACCCAATATATAACCCACTATGCCACCAGAGCTTCTTCTTGGGCAGGTATTAATCTCTATCCTAAATTGCCTTTTCATTCATTCATTCAACAAATACATATGGAACCAGAGGTTATGTTGTTGCTGTTGTTATTAGATCCCCATGCACAGTTCAAACACCAGGGGCCCAGAGGGAGCTGCTGGTCAAATAAATAACATACATCAAAGTTGGTGAGAAAGCGTCACAGGTGCTGGCTCGGGACGTTCAGCTGGAGGCTCATCTGTGCAGGACCTAGGTCTTTCTCCTTTGGTGTTTCCGCTCCTAGCATGATGGTTGGCACTTAGTTGGTTCTCTGTAAATGATATGGAAGACGCGCGTGAATCAGTGAATTTGAACAAGTTCACATAGCAGAAACCATTAGCTATAAATGAATACAAGTTACACATTTTTTGGTATAGTGTGTTTTGGTTATTTATTGCTACATAGCAAGTCCAAAATTTAGTGACTTGAAATAATTGCTTTATTATTTTTCTCGATTTTTATGCATAGGAAATTTGACAGGGCTCACTAGGGGCTTCTCCTATTCCACGTAGCACTGGCTGGGGCCGTGTACTCCATTGCATCCAGCTGGCAGCTGGGCTGGCCGAAGAGGTCCAAGAAGGCTGCATTTACATGACTGGCACCATGGTGCTCCTCCGTGTGGTCTCTGTGGACTTGACTTCTCATCACTTAGTCTTTCCCACACCTCTACAGCAGGGTGGCTGACTTCACAGGCAAAACCAGACTGCTGAGCCTCTTGAAAGCTAGGCCTGGGACTGGGTCAGTCAGTGTCACCGCTGCTGGTCTAAGAAAGTTACAAGGGCAGCCTAGATTTGAGGGGAGGTGAAACAGATTCTCTCTCTTGATAGAATTTGCAGTAATGTGGATGATGAGTGTAGGGAATTGATGGCAGCTACAACAACAACATATAGATTATGGGAGTCAGCTTCATTCACGCCGGGGTTCCTCTTCTCCCAGTGAGAAAGCAGTAGTAGATGCTCAGGCTCCAGATCCAAGTCTGATGGCAGTGACACTCAGAGCGGGTGTGCCATTTTTGTCTTTTCTCTAAAACCTCTACCCTGTTTTTCTATCATCGTCAGGGAATATGGTATATCTACTGAGTTAATTTCTCAGTTATGTTTCATTCTTAAAATTGTAATCATATTGAATGAAAACATACTGTCAACTTACCTTTACTCTAAATAGCTGTGTTGCTATATTCTAACCTTTCCTTGGTGGCAGTGACAATTTTTGGGATATCCGTTGTGTTGTCCCTGAGACAGGGCTATCTTCAGCCCCGCACAAAGCCCTCTGGAACTCACACTTTAGGGAACTTGTGATCATTTTTATGCCTTCTGTCACTTCCTAGACATCTTGCTGCATGCCTTAATTTGTTTCAGGCTAGAAAATTAAGTTTCCTATAATTATGTTGAAACTGGGCTAAGCGGACCTGAAATTCTCTTTTAGAGCAAGAACATTGGCTTCAGTGTTTTTCATTTATATACTTTTCTAACGTGTCACAGCCTTTATTTATTTATTTTTTCATAGTATCCCCAATGGTGATTTTTTAAAAAAAGTTTTTATTGTGAATTATGTGATAGTTTACATGGGAGAGCATTAGCTTCATATTCATTTAATTTCGTTGCAATGATTACAATCCCCTCCGTGCATCATCATACAACCAGAGGATATACCCTGCAAGCCTGCCTCCCGGCCATCAGCACACAGCCCCTTTCCCTCCCTGAGTCCCCAGCCGCTCCATCTCTCCACGTAATCATCTCTGCCTCCATCTCTGACATCACTGCTTCTCTGGGTAGGGTCCCTCTCCCTTGATGGTTCCAGGGACCTCATCTCCTGGACTGCAAAGTCAGCCACTCCTCTCCTTTTGTTACAAAATGTCTACCTTTACATTTTCAACCCTCACAGTCAGTCCTAATAGCAGTTATTCATTATTGTACCACAAGAGTCTTATCACCATCTTCTTTCATCAGCCCTGCCCAGATAGATTGGGCACCACGCATTGGAGATTCTACCTCCCCGCACCCTCTGGATCTAGGCTCCCTCTTGAAAGCTTGTAAGCCAGTCACGACTTACCTTTGTAAACTGCGCCCCCCCCCATTTTGGGTAGCCAGTGTCTTAAGTTGCCATCTCTGTCAACCCTGCGTACTGAGGGTGCTGGGGTGGGAATGATCCTCGCTGTAAAGATTTGTACCCTCTTTTGAGCTACTATCTATAAGTGTAGGTCAAGTTCATCAAATTGTAGCAGATTACTTTTTTTTCCTCTTCTAATCGAGTTCTGATCATCCAGCCAATAAGCCAGGTCAAGTGCATACTGTCTGCAAGTGTGGGTGTTCTTGTGCATCTCCTCTCACTTCATATCAGCTGGGCGCTTCACTCTCTGCTCTAGTCCTCTGTGTCCATGTCACTGTCTCTGGGCCCCAGGTCTTGCCATACTGCTTGCCAACCAGGTCTCAACCCGGGTTCACAGGAGTCTATTGAATGTAGTCAGACTTAGCTCACAACTTCATTGCTGTTTTTCCCCAAGCTTCCACTTATTGGTGACCAATATGGTCACCAGCCAGACCACATGCTTGAGTCTTAGTCTTGGAAGGGGGTTTGCCCTGAGGGGACCTGACCACTCACCTTGATGGCTCCGGGGTGAACAACTTGCTTGTTCTTGTAGTAGTCAGTTGGACTACTGTTAATTGTTTTTTTATTTTTCCTGCCTGTTGGTCTTTCTGTCAAGAAATATCTTCTGTTCTTCTAGCCGCTCCAGGCTAGTCTGCTTGTCCTTTCAAGGGGAAATTTCCCACCTCAGATGATTCTGGATGGGCTTCAGGATTCCACCTATGGTCTTGTGCAATGCAAAGGCTCTGCAGGGAGCCTCCTTCACTGGGCAAGTTCTAGCCCCATTTTAGATATTCCAGTCAGTTATAGGCTGAAGACAGACTTACAAGCTTTTTATCCCAATGGTAATTTTGAACAGATGTTATTGTACCCATTTTATGAATGAGAACACTCACACACAAGACTCTGTTAGGTTAGTCTGAGTGAGGCTTAGACTAGAACCCGGGGCCAGGGGCTCCTGCCCTAAAGTCCTGCTGCCTTAAGAAGTACAGAGGGGAAAGGTGCTGAGGAAAGTTGGTGGATTTTTTTTTTAATCTAAAAGTTTTTTTATTATTTAACATTTTAGTAGTAATTTTTTTAAAAAGTTGCATAATATTGCAAGAAGTTTAGCAGGAAACGTAGCATTGAACTTTATGGATGCCTGTTTTGTCTGCACAAAGGCATTCTTCATTTGTACTTTTCTGGCCGGGGTCCCTGGGGGCCATCATTTCTGGGTAAAGGATTCCAGAGCAGAGATGGGCTACTAGATACAAAACATGTCAAGAAAATCACTTGGGAAAGTATAATTATTTCTGCACATTTAGCAAGAATGGCATTGAAAAGAGGGTGAAGAACAGAGGAATTCCCTCATCAAAGCATTTACAGACATGTTTGCTGTTTTTTTAGCTGCCAACTCTTCGTGACCCTGGAAAACAGGACATAGGGGAACAGTTTCAGTCCAGTCAAGGAGCCAAGGACAGTTTGGACATAAACAGGAGCCCAGGTATCAATAGGTGAGTTACACATTTTATTGTTCTTTGTGTCACCATGCTGTTGGGCTCCCTTGTGACCCTGAAGCCACTTTTCGGTCTTCTAATGATAAGGATGCTGTGGTGATGAAGAGTAAGGTAGAAACAGGTGCCAGCAGTTAAGTGAGCAGAAAGAGCAAGCTGATGACAACTTGTAGGAGACAACAAAGATAAAGTGGCTGCCATCTTCTCCAGACAGAGCACATCAGTGGTCAAAAGCAGAACATCTTGCTTTTGTCAAACAGCTCAGATTACTTTCCTCATAAAAAAGAAGTGCCAAGTAGTTCATTTGGCTGCACTTCAGAAACCAAGGTTGGGGACCAGAGTTGCTCAAGACAGGCATCACTAACCAGAGAGGGCTGGGCAATGTCCAAGCTACCCTGCGGCTTCTTACTTCCAGCTGAGAATGGCAGGGAATAGTTTCAGTACAGATCACTCTAGAGCGATAGCATATGTCTATATTGGGTTTTAGGAATGTGCATAAAAGAAATTTTATTTTGCATACAAGGAATTATTTTTCTAAAATACTGTTTTTCAAGGTAGACTAAGTATATCAATTTAATTTGCTTTTGAGCAGTTGATAAATGGCAACCTAATTGCACAGCTTTGAATTCAGTTTTCTTAAAGAAAAAGCAGTACCTTTTTGTTTTCTCCCTCTGATGACTGAGAAGTTTGATGCTCCTTCCACGGAGGGGAGTATGTATATGTATATTAAAGGAGGATCTGAGAAAATGCCCAGTCATTTCCTATTAGTGGATTTTACTTTTGTGAAGGGAATTGGGAAGGGACCCTCAGGCCATTTGCAGAAGCAAATGAAGTGACCTGCAGCCAATTAGATAACAAAGAAAAACCTGTGGTCGTGTCTGCCCGCCCATCCCCCACCCCCAGACCCAGCTCCACCCTCTTCCCCCAAAAGATCAAAACACAGGCTAAAGAAAAGTTTAATATTTTGCCATCTATTTTTCTAGTCTTTTTTTGTGTACATTTAAAAATAAGCGTTTAATTATAAACATGTAGGCAGTTTTATATCTTTCCACTTTTCATTAGAATACGAGCCTTATCACACATTATTAAGAACACCCTGTAAACTACTTTTAAATTGTTGGATTCCCCCTCATTGTCAAATGCTAAGCCGTTTCATTCTTGTCTCCTATTATGGACAGGGCTGCATGCAGTGACTAAATACAGCTTTTTTCTGCATTTTTTGATTATGCCCTTAAGGTAGATTCCCAGAAGAGGAATTGCTAGGTCTAACCTATGTACATTTTAAAGACCCTTGAAAGATGTTGCCAAATTGCTCATAAAAAAAAAAGCCCCTCGGATCTGACTTCTCTAATTCAATAGTCTCTGTCTCCAACCTGGATGCTGGTGAGGAGGGCATTCCCAGTAGCAGGGAATTCAAATATATGCCACAGATCAGACACGTTTGAAGCCTTTGTTAAGTGCCATGGAGTAGGTTCCGACTCATAGCAACCCTATAATGGTGTTTCCAAGGAGTGGTAGCTGGTGAGTTTGAACTGCTGACCTTGTAGTTTATCCCATGTTACCATACTAATAGGTGGTAAATATATGTGTGTAAGAACCCTGGTGGCGTAACAAGCAAGCATTTGGCTGCTGACCCAAAGGATGGCAGTTCAGACTCACCCAGTGGCTCTGCAGAACAAAGACCTCGTAGTCAGCTTCCATAAAGATTACAGTTTAGAAAACTCTGGAACCCTGCTACTCTGTCACATGGGGTTACCTAACATGGCACCTAACAATAACAACAAAATAGAGAAAATAATGGGATAGAGAAGAAAAAAGACTCCTTTATTTTACAGATGAGGAAAGCAAAACCCAGATTAAAAGCTTGTCAGAGTCCATAGGCTAGTTAGTGGAGGCCAGCATCCAGGACTCAGTGGAGCTCCACTGAAGATCTCCAAATGGTCCTGTTATTGTAACAGTGATGTAGGAGGCTGCTACTAGAGAGTTCTGATTTGTTGTTAAGTGCCATCGAGTTGGTTCAGACCCATAGCGACTGCCAACCTTGCAGTTCAAACTGACTTTGCAGTCCAGCGCATTAATCCACAGTGCCATACCTGGCCTCCGGAGATTTCTGATAGAAGGGCAGAAATAATTACTGAACTATTTCTAAATGTGTTGTGTAGCCTTTGGGGGCTCTGTAGCAGCCTGGAGACTAAGGTTCTGTCTGGTGAAACTTTCAACTGTGGGCTTCTTCTACCTCTGAAGATTTCCAAGAGCATTCTGGAATGATGAAAGGTTGGGTTTGGAAGCTGAATAAACCTTAGAGATCTTCTAACCCAGTCCTCCCATTTCTTAGTCATGAAAGTCCTAGAGAACCCAGTGGCCAGGGCAAAGGCACACAGCTGAACAGTGTACTCTTCACAGCATCAAGCCACCAGCAGGGTCGTCACCAGTCTCTGGGCCATGAGTCACCCAGCCATGGCCAGGACTGTATCAGGTAAGGGAGCTTTGTGGTCTGAATGTTGGGGAGTTTGGTGCCCTCTTGTGGTGGGCATGAATCAGTGCAACCCAGGAAAAGTTAAAGGCTTGATGGGCTTGGTTTGGTACTGTGTCAGAAATTTGAACAAATTGATGTGCTTATGTCCACCTGCTTTCCACCCCTACCTCCCAAAAAACCTGTGCAATTTAGGATCAATGTGGAATCTGTGCCTTCTGAAGTCTATAATCTAAAATCAAGACATCATGAAGATGAAGAGGTACATTTAAGATGGAAAAGTAAGTATAAAAAAACATGGGTTTTGTTGGACAAAATGAAATTTTAGGTGTGTGTCCAGGCTAGTTATTATCTCTAAGAACATAACTGTTGTCACTGTTCATACCCTAGTCGTATCTTCCCATATTATTTTCTTCCAGTAGATCGTTTTATTTTTAAAGCAAGGCCCTCTGACTACAGTCTGCAGGACGGAAATGTTTTTTCCATTTCTAGACTTTAGAGTAAATATGAATATTAGCTATGTGAATGTTATATTTGTTGCTGTTCTAAGTGCCGTAGAGTTGGTTCTGACCCATAGTGACCCTTTATGGAGTTTCCAAGGAGTAGCTGGTGAGCTTGAACCGCTGACCTTGCTGTTCAAACTTACTTTACAGTTCAGCGCAGTAACCCACAGTGTCACACCAGGACTCTGAATGTTATATGGCAAATGTGATACAGCACTACATAATTGACAGCATGCTGGGTCACTTTAACATACCCTGAGTGCTGTATCTTTCTGTTTCAGTTTTATCAGGTAAGGCAAAAAAGGGTCCAATGTCTGTTTTATTAACACTCGAGTTAAGTGTTCTCAGAAGCCCTGGTAGCATAGTGGAGTACGAGCTGGGCTGCTAACCATGTCAGCAGTTCAAATCTGCCAGTCGCTCCATGAAAAAAAAATGAGGCTTTGTGCTCCTGTAAAGACTTACAGCCTCGGACTGAGTTGGAACTGACTCAAAGACATATACCCACTACCACTAGCAGTGTTAAGTGACATTAGCCAGGGGTATAGGGCATTTGGAATGAAAACACGAATATATCAACACCCTCCCTCCCCCAAAATAGGAGTCCAGCATAGTCCATAAAGATGTCCTTTCTCCTTGTCACTATAGACTAGAGACTTCGGATGTCATTTTCTTGTAAAATTTCCACAGCAAGAGGGCCCATATAAGTTATTTGCTGCCTTCTAGTCTGGAATTCTACAGTAAGAGGAACAGACTGAAATCTTGCCCTTCCATGGCTCTTTCATCAGTTTTCACCTCCGAGCCAAACAGGGCAAGCTAAGGATGGCGCAATTATAAAAAGGCAAAATCGTAACAATATGATCTGTAATCATATTATGTTGCTCCTTATACATTGTGACAGAATGATGTGTGAAATGCCTTTCTTTTGTGCCCAGCTGAGGTGAAAGAAATGGCAGAGAGAGCAGCTGCTGGACAGCTCACTGTACCACCTTGGCATCCTCAGAGAAGTTTGGCTTCAGAGAAAGAGGCTGACAATGAGTCCGATCCCCTGCCGCAGCCCTCTGTTAGGGACCTTGAGCACGTGGATTGGCAGCAAGCAGTAGAGTGTCCTAGGGAAAATGACAAGCTCAGAGGGAATGACAAACGTGATCAGACGGACAACAGTGACCAGCCTGGTGGGCAGCTTGGTCCTCGGAGCTTCACCAGTAAGTTCAGTTAGGTGGCCAGGTAGCTGAGTTCTATGCAGATTCCAGTTCTCAAAAATAAGTCAGCTGTTGGCATATTTCTTTTCTTTTTTTTTTTTTTGGCGTATTTCTTTTGCTTGATCTTCCTTCGCCACATGTCTGGAGCCTTGAATTCCAGAGGGGGGGAAGCAGCATGCCCTTTTCCCCACTGTTCTTCCCACATGTAAAGAAATTCAGAGATTCCTGAGTTCCTGTTTTTGGAGCAGACCTCTTTGTCCAATGGAAGTAAAATAATCTTTACATATAGACCCTGGTCCTGTGTCTAATCTGACAAGGAATTGAACTTTTCGTATCTGAGACAGTGATGGCTACCACTTTCTACCACCCATTACTTTGCATTTCATTTTTTTTTTTAGCAAAAAATGATTTTATTCCAAGCCATTCTTTAGCTTTCCTTTGGTGCCAGAGATCTGCATTTCATTTTAATTTGGAAATACATCCACTGGCTCCTAGAGACTCTGTGCCAGAGCACCTACAGTCAAGTGATGCATAGCGTCATCACACTAGGGAGGTTTACAGGTGAAACTCAGTGCTGTATATTTTCACCTGGCAGTTTGGTTGCTACCAGGGCCAAAGAAGAACACATTGAAATCTATTTCTCATAGAAAATCTGTTGACTTAAGTTATTACTGGTATTTAGAACCTTCCTTATCAAACATCACTCAAATGTGTAGACAAAAGGGTAGATGACCCAGGACTGCAGCTAAATGAAATCTCCACTTTCGGGGTCTAGTGGACATGGGACATGACCACCCTGAGCAGAATACGCACACATCTCTTCTGTTAATGCTTTCGTTTGCCCCTTTCAGTGAGTTTCACTTGAGTGACTTTGTTTGTGTTGTACTTGTTAGGTGCCAGGCATCTGCCCCTCAGGAAGAGTGAGCAGCCAGAACATAGTGAAGCCTTGCAAACAAGTTCTGATGCATCCGTGGCCGTTGAGAAATCTTACAGCGTAAGTAATATGGCCTGGAGAGCCACACTGACCCTAATAAAGTAGAATTCAGTTGTTATGAAATAATATCTGAAATCATATTTATAGTAGCTTTTTGGATTGCAGCATGTGTCCTCATTTCTCTAACATGAATAAAGCTGTCTTGTCCCCAAGCCTCACACCTTTGGGAGTCAATTCAGCCCAATGTATTTTGTATCTTGGAGCTTGGAGAACACAGACAGGGTCAAATTCAGCTCTAGCCCTTGAGCTTACCATCTAGTAGAGTACACAAGACCACCTCTTAAAACCCAGTGCGAGTTTAGATATCAGTGCACGTGGCCCAGCAGGTGCCTGAGGTTGGATTGGATGAAAAGGAAAAGCATAAGCCAGAGTTGGGATGTGAGTGCCTCCACCTGAAATGAACTCTCAGACCCCTGTTCAGGTGACTGCCTCTCCGCAGGATTCATGAGGTCTGGCCATTTCTTAACAATTGCATTAACTGGCAGCTTTGCTTCAGGGATATAACACCCCAGCAATTGGACCACAATCCAGGCAGATTAAAGAACCAAACGTTTTTATTGTCATTGACATGACAATCAATTTAAAGAATAAAAACAGCGATTTAGAATGAAACAGTATAAAACTATTACTGTGTTATAATTAGTGGTCTTTCAAAGAACATAATATGTATTTAACTACAACCCACATATCGCCACAAGGACAATTTCTTCTTTCTCTCTCTCGTGAGGGGCGGGAGAATGTGCCCACATGAAGCACACTGGCTTGGCTACAGGAGCGGGTCTAGTCAGGGCAGTGGGGAGAAACCAGGGAGAGGCTAGGCTTGTCTGAGAAAGTTCATTTATTGTGAAAGGTAAAGGGGGGCAACTGTTAACGTTCACAGTCAGGATACGTTTTATCAAAAGCATATTGATTTCCAAGGAAATCGGCCACAAAACCTTTGCAAAAGGATGATTGAAGGTGGGCAGAGAAGCCAGTCATCTGTCCAATGGTGATCAGGCCGGAAAAGGAAGGAGTAGAGAGGAGACAGAAAACTATTGCTTTTAAGTATATTTTTTTTCCTGCATTTGCCTTGCGGTTTCAAAATCATGCTCCTTCATTTGTCTATAAATGGTAATGCTTGAGGGACTGACAAGTCCTGAGCTGTAGCCTGATGCTAACATAGGACTATGTCTACACCCTTTAGAGGTCAAGCGGTTTAAATTCAGTCTCCCTCTTGAACCGTGTAGGTAGTTTATCTTTTTACAGTGTGAAACATATATAACAAAAATGTCGCCACTGTAAACCATTTCTAAATGTACAATTCAGTGACATGAATTATAGTCACTGTGCTACCATCACTCTGCATTTCCAAATGTTTTACACCAGTCTGGCCCTTTTATCCTCACTCAGCCTTTCAGGGTAGAAACGTTGCCTAACCCCCTACTCACTCCTGCACTGAGAATCAGAATGTCTCACTTTTGTCCTCAAGGCTTCAAGCTGAGACAGATGGACAAGCAGGCAGGAAGAGCCAGCTGGGGAGAATGTTGCGCTGCTTGCTGAGCAAATTTAGATCACCTGGTTATTACCACTGCGTCCACTGAATGTCAGCTTAAGAGTGATTTCTTGTGTTATTAATAGGAGCCGTCTGTGCAATCAACTTGTTCGCCAGAGTCGTCTGAGGACATAACAGATGAATTTTTAACTCCAGACTATGAATATTTTTATTCCTCGATGGCTCAGGAAAACTTAGCTCTAGAGGTAAAATCATTACAGTTCAGGGTAAAGTACATTTTCCACTTTCTCCATTGCCTTCTTCCTTTTTAAGTCTTTTTAAAAGTTTTTATTGAGTGATAGTTTACATGGGATGGGAGGACATCGGTTTTATACTCATCATTTCATTACAGTGATTAGTCTCCTCTGTGCATCATCATCCAACTATATTTGCTTCTATTCCCTCTGTATTTTTTTGTTTGGTTGTATTTTTTTGCGGGGGGAGAGAGGGGTAACATACACAAAACCATTCAGGAATGGACACATTCTTGCAAGCTTGCCTTCTGGCCACAAACACACAGCCTTTCTCTTTCCATGAGTCTAGAGTCCTCAGCTGCT